GCGACCCCGAAGGGAGCTTCAACCCAGGAGTCTCGAGGGGGCATGCGCAATTATGTGAACACACCCATGCAAACAGTTGTGGCCTAGTGTCGTCATGTGGACTTTTCCACAAGGTGTGTTGGACAGCGTTACCCCGATTAATTCGGGGTGGTGGCGGGAATTTAATGCCCGGGATGTCGCGCAACTGCCTTTGTGGGTTTGTGCTCCACCGCTGACGGCGGTAGTGTCCAGCTGTTTGCGGACGCATGCGAGCAGTTAAATCCTATCAGTAAATGGCACGCTCCACCCGTCATATGACGGGCTCCTCGTGAGGGGGGTGTGGTTAGCCATGATTCATTTCATCATCAGGGATGTCGCGGTAGCGACTGACCTGTGATGTTTGGCTCAAGTTTGCGGGTCCGTCGCGCCTCGGATGAGCGTCGCCGGGTCCCCGCGTCGATCACCTTCGTGTCGGTGGAGAAAGAGACATCGGCCCGGGGCAGATCGTCGACCAAGGTTGCGGGTACTTGTTTACTTGTTTTTGTATTTCCCTTTTGGTTGTTGTTCTCTGGTGTGTGGGAAACCCTGATCTTTGGGACCGGGGATTGGTTTGCTTTTGGGGAACCTTTCTTTTGTGGCTTGTTTACCCCAACTTACCCATTGCCTGGGCACAGGCTCGTGCCCGAATCACAAAAGACATCAGAATTGGTAGTGTGCATTTTTTGGTAAGGGGGAGCGACGTTTTTGTAACCGTGTCGGGTTTGACTTTGGAGTTTGTCGGCTTTGTTTGATATGAAAGCGGCGCACGCTTGCTTGGTTGACCATCTATTGAGTGTGTAAGCACCGCCAGTGCGTCCAGGTAGATAGTTTGCAGCTAGAGGCTGGCCTCACAGTTCGGTCAGCTTGTGCTTGGAGTGGTGTTGGCATGGCTCGCATCAGGTTCCGGGAATCCGAGCGATCAACGCATTTTTTAGGCACACGTCGCATTTTTGAGACACGCTGAGCTGTTTTGAAGTGCAGAAGGAAGAGATCGGCAATGGCGAGTTGGCTTGAGCCCTACTTACAGGTTTTGCAAAGGTCTGCGCAGTGTGCAAGTTTGATGGCTGAGGCACCATCACAGGCAAGATTGCCCGGATGGTTTTTGCCAGGAACGTGAGGCCGAAGCATCCGTGCTTGCTGAGCTGCAGTCTGTTGGTGTTGTTGGTCTGCAGGCAGTGTGCTACCATTTGAATGACTTCGATACACTGCATGCCGCAGTCGCTTGCTTAATTGGTGCGACTTGAGTGCTTGCAGGTTTTTTGGAGCAGAGTTATGCCGTTATGCCCGGCCTTTGCACATGTTGCGAGGCTGGCAAGTTGGAGACATTGAGCAAAGCGCCTCACATGCCATGGCCTTGGTGTCAGATACGGCGGCCACGCGTTGAGTTGACTTCCCAGGTCACCTTTGGTTCGACCAATACGGTCACCGTTGGATCGGAGACGTTGCAGCCTTGCAGGCCTCTTGACTCAAGCCGATTGATCTACCATGTTCTTTAGGCTCCCGGCCCCGAGTTCTTGTAGCCATGCGTGTAGGACGACGGAGTTTGGTCAAGTGCAGTCGCAATCTCAGAACAACGGCAAGCATTTCGCTGGCATACCCTTTCGGTACTCCCAGAGATCGAGTTGACATTCCCGAGGTCAACCCGCACGTGGCCCACGAGCTTCGCCAGAGTGTACAGCTTCCCAAGAGAGTCCAGCTTGCGCCGCAGTTTCATCAAGGCTGCCACCTGTTTGCTTTGTTTTTTGAACCCTTTGGGTTGGTTTTAAGGGACACCAAAGGGGAACCGTTGGGTTCCCCCTATTTTGAGACACACCCACATTTGTGACGTTTGGCTGATGTTCGCTGCAAGGTCGTTACAAGCCATTGCCTCAGCGTGAATCACTCTGCGATGCAGTTGAATTTGAGCACCAAGACACTAAGGAATGCAGACTTATCCAAGCCTGCCGGTGCCGCGTGTAGTTGCCCCAGCCCTAGGTTGGTGTATTTATTCTGGCTTGGCGGGCTGATTGTTTCTGCTGCTGCAGAGCGTTTAGTTGCCAAGTGCATTTTTGTATGGCTGAGAACAGCAGAACTTCTCGAGCTATCATTGTTGCACATCACAAATGTGATAGGCACAAAATGCAGCTCATCGGCCAAGGAGAGTCTTCGGGCTATGCCAGCCAATCTTCGTCGAGACCTCAGGCATTGAATATGTTACACGCTCAGCTTTCCGGAAATTATATTTGACAAGCACTCAAGCCATAGATTTGTAGCTTTGTTTGTGTGAGTTGGATAAGCAGCCAATATGGAACGCACTTGCTCCTCCAGCACCTTCTGCCAAGGCTTTTCCTAAGTCTTAATTTCTTTTGGGCCAAGTGCTCAACACAAGTCCACCCCAGAGACTTCAATCTATTAGAGTTCCCCGCCTGCCTTGGACGTGGCAAGCCGAAATTTATCAAGGCCCAAGCGCCGCACGTGAAAACACACCATTAGCATAGATCTCTCAAACCACTCTGAATGCACCGGCGGGTGGTATTCAGGGTTGCTTTGTGTTTGTTTGGAACTTGTGCAGGCTGCGCAGTTTCGGCTCATTTTTTGAGCTTGAGGCTTTCTGTAGTTGCGCGCAGATCGTCAAGGATCGTTGAAGGTCGCGCTTGCCAGCGTCACTATCGTCACTCAGACCCAGCTGAACCCACGTCGCCCGCATCATCCCGCCTCCAGCTGTAAACACCCAACTCAGTCGTAGCCCGCCGAGGAGTGACCAGCTTTGCACCCCTATCCCCAGCGCTCCACGTTGCTACTACTCACAGAATCTCCCACTGCCCCTTTGCCAGTTTGATTTCTCTCGTGAAATGTTTTAAGCATACAAGTCGAAGTTCTCGCTTGAAATCAATATGCCCCAGACGAGTAGCTAGTTTCGACGCTGATTGCACGCTGTCTGACGTGGAGCACTTCGAAAGTGAACCCGAATTTGGAAACACGTGCGCGACTCACAAGCCCCGTGTGACAAATGTGTCCCAATTAATTGAGCAATTAGCTGGCGCGCGGCAATGTTTTGAGTGACCGAGGACCGAAATCTGCAAAAAGTTGGCGCAGGCCCCCCGACAGCCGGAGGCTCAACTTTGGCCTGAGCTTGGAGCCCATGAATCAAGGCTGAGACTTGTGGATTGATTGCCATTGCCCACCAATGTTCAGATTCAAGCCTTGATTGCATGCTGAGGACCCAATTTTTATGAAGCTCCCATGAGATTGGAAGCAAAGCGCCCGTGAGCGAATTCCTCCGATTGGAGAAGCAACTTTTGCCGGGCTGAAAGCCAGGCTGTAATTAAGTTCTGTCGTAGCTGGTGCATATCCTCTGCCTTGGATGGCAGTTCCGCATTGATACACGCATCATGATCAACGAGACAGCTTGTCAACAACTACCAACCCGCAAATGGACTTTGTTCTGACAGGGTTTCCTAGGCTTCACCGCTGATTGCATGGATACAAACTTGGCACAGCCTGCCATTAACAACACCATGATGTGGCATGCGCGTGCGTGCAAGCATGTGTGTGTGTGTGTGCAGTTGTTTGGGAGCACTTTTTACTAGTGAATATGACTGGACGGAAACAAGTCATCAATGAGGTCCTGCCTGACCGCGTTGGTCTTCGCTCAACTATGGATTTCACACACAACAGATTCTTGCAGCATATATTGTATAGGTAACGCTAAGCTTTTTAACACGTGTTTGAAGTTTGGAACTCTACGTTTTTTTTGCACTGTGGCACCAATGTGTGTGGCAAACACAAATCCGAGCTGGCAAGGTCGAATTTGCAAGGACGCATTGAATTTCAACTTTTGGATTTGCAATGTGATTCGTTCCGTCTGGCAAGACTACCGAATTCAAGAGCCTTTGTCTCCAGTTGATTCCTAGCCGCCAATAAATTTTAGACCACCAAGAAACCTTGCATGGGAGGTGCCTCCGGCAAAGCATAATTTTGTTTGCCGGCATGATTCCCCCATTGTGAGGTCGCTATGCAGGGCGGACCGAACGCTGGCACTGCTTGGCAACAAAAACATGTGTCCGGGCAATGTGTAACGGCGCCCCGACGTGAAGCGCAAAGTGCCAAATCCACATGTGGGGGCAACCCAATGCGTCACCGATCCATGACTCAGCGCGGACAGGGGCCGCAAAATATGTATGTTTTGCATGTTTTGCGGCATGCGGTTCAGGTGTAGCTGTTCGCGTCCTTGCACTCCTGGCACCGTTTTCCATCGAACCATATTTTTGACACTGTCAGTATACACCGCACCGTCTGTTCCAGCCAAGCTCGCCAAAAATATGCACACTCTGCCATATTACACAAGTAAATATGTGCGAGAAATGCCCTTCTACCCCAGCAGAAGATAGACCCCCCCACGTTCGCGCCTTTTCACAATCGCAGTCAATTGACCCAGTGCGGCGGAGGAGCAGGAAGGAGGCTTGGATTG